CTGATAGCTCTATCACACATCTCCTCTGATAACTCCATCAATTTTTTAAGCTAACCCCATGTATTGTTTAATTCACTTTGTTAAGAACGAGATGCATTTTTTGTGCTTGTCTTTTAAAGCCTGAAGATCACGCAGAGAAATTTGTAAACATATGTTCTTGCTTGTAGAAGAAGTTTTGAAGTGAAACTTCCCTTTTTCAGATTATTTCTTAATGGAGAAAGAGAGTTCCAGTTCTTTTGTTACTCTTGAGAGTAATTTTTGTGCCTAATTTGGGGGATTCTCACCTGTGCTCCTGCTGTATTTTAAAGCCTGCTGTTCGCTGCTCTGGGGAATCTGGGAGCTGAAGATCAGGCAGGGAAATTTGTAAACATACGACAGAACTTGTTCTTGCTTTTAAAAGAAGTTTTGAAGTGAAACTTTGCTTTTTTTAGATTATTTCTTAATGGACAAAGAGAGTTCCAGTTCTTTTGTTACTCTTGAGAGTAATTTTTGTGCGGAATTTGGGGGATTCTCACCTGTGCTCCTGGAGCTGCTGCTCCAGACTCCGGGGCAGCTCCTTGCAGTAGAGCTGGCAGGTGTTGGGAGCTTTGGAGAGCAGAGTGGGCTTCTGCAGGGAAAGCAGAGCTGCTTTAAATGGCTGCTGATTTCATGAATGAGTCCAGAAACATTTCCTACCCCTCTAACTGCCCAGCTGTCCACAGAGCCACTCTCTAAACCCACTGGCTTCTAACCCTTAGGCAATATTTTTGCAGGACAGATTATGCCATAAAAATCCATGGGAAGCTTCTTCCCAAGTGGAAGAAGCTGCAAGCTGGAAAACTGGGGAAAAAAACCCAGTTTTTATGAACTAAAGGTATATCAAAATGGGTTTGAAATAAAGGGGGTGTGGAAGAGGAAGGCCCAGGGGGTTAAGAAGTGGCTCCCTGGGTGCTGATGCAGAACCCTAAAAGCTCCTCTTTGGGCCCCTTCTGCCAAGCTGCAAGGTCTGCTCTGACCCTTGGGCCTGTCTGCAAGCAGAGGGTGTTGTTCCATCAAAAGGGGATCACCTTCAGCAGCCACACCATTGTTTTCCTGTTGTTCAGTAACTGAGGGATCTCAAAGCTTGCTTTCATTTCAGTCTCACTTATAGTTTC